ATAATAATAATAATAATAATAATAATAATAATAATAATAATAATAATAATAATAATAATAATAATAATAAACATGTGGAGAATGTGTAAACTCCACCAGGCTGGGGAGCGATCATGCAACCTTCTTGCTATCAGCCCTAACCACTGCTCTACTGTGCCACCAGTTTGACCTCTACACAAAATATAAACTTTTCAGATGTAAAGAGTTTGAATAAATGTCATCCTCAGTTTAATATTTGCTCAGTATTCACTGTAGATAATAGTACAAATGTCTTAATATAGTATTGCTCAGGTTTGATATTACTCTACATCAGGTTAAACTCATTAAAATGATAAAACGTGGGTCATTGAACAGATTGGAGGAACTTTAGGCAGGGCATATTGCAGCGATAATACTCCAGACACAGGGCTGCTGTCACAATATTGACATCCAAGAAGTCACAAGTAGAACTTGAAGTCCTGCTGTGAAAAACTGTGCTTTTCTCCAAAAGGCGATTCCAGGAAGTTCTGCATAACAGAAGGCTTGAAACCAAAACAAGAGGGGGGTGGTGATGTGCTCTGTGTGACCAGAACAGAAAGAAAACACGTTAGCCAGAGTCAGTCAGACTGTTAGACCACCTGCTGTTCCGGATATTAGATACTTCATACCTTTTAAAGGTGAGCTCTCTGGAAAGGCTATGAGCAAATATCTTACCTGTTGTAGATGGCTTTTTAAGTGACATCATTTCGAAGAAATAATGCTAAACTTTGGCTGTAATAACAAGCTAATGGCTAGTCCAATCCAGTCCAAGGCCAAAGTAAAATGTTGCCGTTCGAAATATGATTCAAATCTCAAACATTTAAATCTCAAACATTTATAGCAGATTACAAAAAATGTCATGTATGAAGTCATACATTTCCATTAAAGGATTCTGGTAGAAATGTTTTGATATTCCTGCAGATAGTGACACAACCAGCATCAAACGCGCTACAGCTAGCTGCTACTACTTTGTGTGTTTGCAAACAACCATGACATTTTCCGTGAATAACTAATGTGAAACGGTGGGCAGAGTGTGGGTTTATCAGTCAGCATTTAAATGATCTGCTATAACAATATGTCAGATTAGAGCAGATTTAAGATGACAGTAATCCACTCTGGTCTTGGTCTTGTTCTGATAAACCATTTGCTCATCAGTCCAGACAAAATGAAACTCAGTTTCTTTAAACTGAATGGTTGTTTGTCTCATTTGTCTCTATGTGTCTCTGTGATGGACTGTAGACCTGTCCAGGGTGTCCCCTGCCTCTTGCACACTGATAGTTGGAGATGGACACCAGTGACCCCTGTGACCTGTAAAGGAAGAAGCAGGTTAAGATAACGGATGGATGGAAGATGCACATCTAACAAAAAAATTCTAAACTTTTACTTTTTTCTCTTATCATGAATCATATATTTGCTGTTCAAACAATGTAAAGTCAAATCAAGTTGTTTTATTCTATTTATTTTAACTTTGTATGTGCATTTCCAGTTGAAACATGAACATATCCAAAACAGGCTAGAGTTGTAGAATATTACTAAACATACGGTTTATTCTAGTCTATTCAGTTTTCAAAGCTACTTTTTACTTTCATACGAGCAAGATTTAAAGTGTTTCATTCTCTCTTTAACGTGTTTTTGCATGTGTGAGGCAGAACTGGATTCTGTGCTTCCCAAGCCGAGTCCCTGCTGTGCCCAGTGAGGCCCTCTGCTCCTCTCTATATGCTCAGGTTAGCCTGCCGTGCACACGGACTCACCCGCAGAACATAAAACACAAATCTGCAGCAAAGGTGGGAAGCGAGGATTATTTAGCCGGCGTCGTAGATTATTTACATGGCCTTCATTATACGCACGCAAACGTGGGCGTACTAGCATACAAGTTCAATTGAACACAAATGTGCAAACACAGTCAAGCTGTGTTTGCACCGACTGCTCACCCACTTGTCCCTCTCAGGCCCCCCCACCCCTAACCTTCACCCCTCAAGACCCTGCATTCCCAGCATAGTCGGCACTGGGGCTACGGGGCATGTCACATGGTGAATACAGCTACATGTTGGACACCATGCAGGGCCGCTCTCCCTCTCTGCTGGCAGCACATGTAACGTCTGCAAAACAGACCTTGACTTTGACCTTCATCCTGCCCCCTCGTCGTGTTTGTGAGCCGCTGGAACTCGTGCGATGTGCACGTTTAGAGTCTCACTCCATCTAAGAACTGAATTAGAAAAAACTTTCTGATTTAGATGCGGCTGTTTAGGTTTTAATTGTTTTAATTTTAGTTGTTTCGATTGTTTAGTAGCATTGTGCTTCTTGATGTATACGGACACAGGCGACAGGCTTGTTATGTCAAAGTGTTTGCATTAACAACTTAACTCTGGCCTGATCGATGAGCCAACAACAGAGTGGGTTGTTTCTGTTTTGAAACAACTGAAGTTCTTCAAAATGTCATCGTGGGTTGTGTGAATGTAATTTGATTAGCCTTTACCGTCACTTTTACTTCGCTTACTATGAGTAATACCTGAAGTGCAGTTGTGTGAATAAAGTGTTTTTCTTTGATCTGTAAGTTTTTGTCACCTTTAACGAATTATTACATATTGTTTAGTGGATGGCTGTCCCAATATCATTACAATTTCGAGCCATACAGTGGGCTGTGGGTGGCTGTGTGATTAGAGCAGTCGTCCTCCAATGGGAGTTGAAGGTTCGACTCCATCTGCAGTCACATGCCGAAGTGTCCCTGGGCAAGACACTGAACCCCTCATAGCCTCCGATGTGTGTCCCATCAGTGCATGAATGTGATAAAGCTCTGATTAGTCTTTGCATAGATCTAGTGGAGCACATATGTCAAAATCAAGGCCCGGGGGCCAAATGTGGACCTCGTTGACATCGTATCTGGCCCCCAAGATGATATTTTAAATGTAAAATGCTTTTTCACTTGAAATTTTTTCTGTAATCTATGATTATGATGTTGAAAGTGCAACAGAGAACATCAAATAAGACCAACCAAACTGTGTTTGAGGAACCTGCAACCAAGAAAAGATGCTGGGTATCTGACTTGAGTTAATATAGATTCTGAAATCGGCCCTTAGTTTGAAAATGCTTTTTATTTTGGCCCCCTTTTGTAAATGAGTTTGACACCCCTGTAGTAGAGTGTTGTATGAATGGGTAAATGAGGGCATAGATTGTGTTGTAAAGAGATTTGAGTATCTTAATAAGGTAGAAAAGAGCTTTGTAAGTACAGTCTATTTACCATTTACAGTGACAATAAAAATTATTCTATTATTTACATAAAATTCTTTGTGTATTTGCAAGCAGAAATAGTGGCATTAGCAGCTAGCTGTAACACATCTGGTGCAAACTGGGCCACTTCAGGTAGGAATATCTGAATATTTCTGCCAGAACAACCATGTATAGTGAAATTAGCTGCGATGTAAAAGCTTTATGAAATATTATTTCAATGAATCTAGTTTCAGATTTAGCCTCGCTTGGACTACCAGCCTCATCCATCTGGTCTGAAGAAAACTATTTCATTCAAACCGTGGTCAATCAAAAACTGTCTTCGAACAGGTAAGATGTTAATTGTTCATAACCTTCCCACAGAATCACACAACAAAAGATTGAACTATCCCAACATTTCACTGGGA